AACCTATTTACTTTAGGGAAAAGAGAGTAGGATCCACCCAGGGGAAATGACTTGTGCCAGGTCATACACACAAAGATAGTGACAAAGCAAAGACTAGAATAGTCTAGAATACATCCTGAATCACACACATTTCCCTTTGCCTGTACATGATAATGCCTTCCTAGAATTATCATTACTATCATTATCATAATTATTTTTATTAAACCATACTTGTGATTTCATTAGTAGTTATTCCTTCCACATTGGAGGGGTTAGGGGCATGGCACTCCTGCAATCTGATCAATCTGTGTAAAATTTTTTGGTCCTCCCTTTGTACCAGAGAATTCTGAATTTTTTCTTTTTCTTTTATGGGGTATACCTTATTGTAAAATTTGGGTTAAGTATTTGTCATAGGCTCTTTGTTTCACGTGTCATCTGCAACTTCTGTAAAACTCCTCCAAAATTCCCCTTTAATTTTTTATGCCAGCCTGTGATATACTGAAACCTCAATGGGTAAAGTCACGATGTGGGAGAGATAACTGTATAAGGAATTCCTAGTGAGATCAGCACTCCTTTACAACTTATAATCTTAAAGAGATTAAATTTCTTGTCCGGGGTCACGTAGCTGGTATCAGAGGCTCGATTTGAACCTGATGGATTTTTATCCATTTTACCACAATGACTTGTTATCATCATCCTTATCATTAACTACTGGCCTTTAGGAATTTGTGTAACATTGAGACCAAATATATAGCCGACATATATCTATTTCAGCCCATCAGTCTACCATATAGTCTGTTTTATGATGTTCTTTAATTTTTGCTTTTTTTTTCCACCCTAATGTGTGATTGACTTGAAGTAAATTCTAATCCTGTTTGTACCTGACCTGAAGTGAATTCTAATCCTGTTTACACAGGAATTTGTGAGAACCCAGAGTCCTCATTCTAGCCAACCAAGAATCTCATTTTGGAGTAGGATTGGAGGATGGTCTTGAATGAAGCGGAGGAGAGGTCTAGACAAAAGGGAAGGGGGTAGGATCTAACAGTAGATAGTCTAGGATGATGATCTACAAAGAGATTCTGTGGCAAGAGTGCTGGTTAATTTGATTAACTAATTTGATTAGTTACCTAGCTGGGCCTAGATTGTTATCGATGGTGAGGAGGATAACTTAGATGTGAGGTACTACAAGGAGTCGGTAGAAGGCTGAAGGCAAGAAAAATGACATGATAATCTTGGCCTAATCGGAGAGGAAAAAGATAGTAATAATCAGAACCTCAGCCCACAATTTAGCTGAGGGAATTAAAAGGTAAAAATTTATGTGTTTAACCATATTATCCATGTGACCCAATATTCTGCATCATCTTAATTCACCTTAATGTGTTTTTCTTTGTTATTAAATAATTATACCCTTATTTGCTTACCTCCTTTATGGTTTACAGTGTGTTTTTACAGATGTTATGTCATTTAATCATTCTCCATCTCCTTCCCTGCAAATAAAAACCAACCCTGTGATATGGTTTAGCACAGATGTTGAGTGATTTGATTGAGGTTAGACAGCTAGTAAGTGGCAGGCGTGGCCTAGAACCCACCTAGGTCTAGGAGCCAAGTCTAGAACTTTTGAATCTAAGTTCGGTGCATTTTCCACTATGTTGCTTTACCTGTTAAATAAGGATAGCTATCATTTCCTTTTCATAATATCAGTCAATAAACATTTATTAAACTCCTGCTGCATACCAGGCAATATGCTAAGATACAATGGTGTTTAAAGGCTCATCAAGAAAATATCTTTGGGGCAGCTAGGTGGTGCAGTGGATAGAGCACCGGCCCTGGATTCAGGAAGACCTGAGTTCGAATCTGGCCTCAGACACGTAACACTTACTAGCTGTGTGACCCTGGGCGAGTCACTTAACCCCATTGCCTAGCCAAAAAAGAAAGAAAGAAAGAAAGAAAGAAAGAAAGAAAGAAAGAAAGAAAGAAAGAAAGAAAGAAAGAAAGAAAGAAAGAAAATATCTTTGAATTCCTAAGCCTCCTCTCCAAGATTACCTTATATATGTTTTATTAGTGCTTTGTATATCACTATATATGTATGTATGTATGTAATCATGTTGTCTCCCCCATTCGAATGTAAGCTGGGTAGGGACTGTTTTGCTTTGTCTTTGTAAACAGTGCCTGGCACATAGTAGGTGCTTAATAAATGATTGTCGATTGATTAGTTGTCTAAAAAGAGGTAGAAATTGTGTCACCATAATAATAATAATAATAATAATAGTTCACATTTACGTAGGACTTTAAAGGTTTGCAGAGTACTTTACATATTATATCATTTGACCCTTACAATAATCCTTTGAAATAGATACTGTTATTACTCTTCCCATTTTACCGATGAGGAAACTGAAGTTGACAGCTTGCCCTGGGTTACAGGCTAATAAGTCCCTGAGTTGTAGTTGTAAACTCGGATTTTCCTGATGCCTAGTCCAGCCATCACTCCACTGGTCCGTCCTGCTTTTCAGTATGAGTGAAGGCCTATGGGAGTCCCCTCAGAAATATAAACAATCAGAAATTGTTCTCTAACTTCTCGTAATTTTACACATTCTTTAGCTAATTCCAAGAGAGGGGTGGACAATCAGGCCTTCAAGGACACCATGTAAAACAGGGTTATTCTGAAGGACAAAGAGTCTAGGGACAATTATACTCATTGTTAGAACATACGTCTCTCATATCTCTGGTAGGCGTTGATAACCTTCATTTAGTTATGTTAGTAATGAAGCAGCCCCATTTTCGTACTGAAACCATCTCATCCACATCAGAGTTATTTTTCTTGGCAATATATAAAAGACCCTTCATAAATATTACCCAAACTATTACTGTCTGAATTTGGTCAGTGTAGTAGGCAAAGGCCTTCCACTCCTGAGTGTCAGTAAATGAAATCACCATGAGAAAGAGGTAAGAACAGAACCCCAGGGAATGCTTACATTTCAAGGACAGGAGGAAGAAGAGGTCTAATTATGAAGAGTCACAGAAAGAATGTGCAGAGAGTTGAAGTGGCCACAGTAGTATGGTGTCATGGAGGACATAGGAAAGACTCTCAAGAATGAATGGTCATTCCTGTCTAAGTTTGCTAGAAAAGGCAAGGAGGATGAGGATTGATAAAAGGCTTTTGGGTTTAGACACCTCAACCTGATTGGTGACTTGTGAGGAAATAGCTCCAGTAGAATGCAGGAGCAGATAGCGGGTAGCAAGGTGGCACAGTGGATAGAGTGCCAAGTCTAGAGTCAGGAAGACTCATCTTCCTGACTTCAAATCCGGCCTCAGATACTTACTAGTTGTATAACCTTAGGCAAGTCACTTAACCTTGTTTGTCTCAGCTTCCCCATTTGTGAAATGAGCTGGACAAGGAAAGGTATACTACTTAAGTATCTTTGCCGAGAAAACCCCAAGTGGGGTCATGAAAAGTTGGACATGTCTGAAAAACAACTGAATAACAACAACAGCAAAGGAGTGGATAACAGACTGAAGGGGTGGAGGATTGACCGGTTGGTAAGGAAGTATAGGTGGTAAGTATAGGTGGCTCACTAGAAGGCAAGAAATAGGAATAAGCATTTATTAAACACCTGCTATGTGCCAGGCACTGTGCTAAGCACTTTACAAATATTATTTTCATTTGATACTCATAACAACCCTGAGAGGTAGGTGCTATTAGTATCCCCATTTTACAGATGGGGGAACTGAGGCAGAGAGGTTAAGTGACTTGCCCAGATTCCTACAGCTAGTAAGCATCTCAGGCCAAATTTTAATTCAGGTCTTCCTGATTAAGCTCAATACTCTGTGCCACCTAGCTGCCTCTATTAGAGATTCTTAGAGCGGCGACAAAGTATAAGACTCATACTGAAACACAGCTTGGAGAAGTGGACAGAATCTAGACTTGGAATCTGGAAAACCTCACTTTGAATTCTACTTCAGGCAGCTACTAGCTGTGTGATTCTGGGCAAGTCACTTAACCTCTGTTTGCCTCAGTTTCCACATCTGCGAGATGGGAGTAGTGATAGCACTGCTTCCTTACAATATTGTTATGAGGAATATAGGTGATTACATGCATAAAGTGCTTTGCAAACCTGAGAGCACTATGCAGATTTGAGCTATTATTACAAGTGAGGAAACTGAGTCCCAGAATGGTCTTGCCTCAGACCACCCAGGCAGAGATGGGATTCTTTTTGATTTATCTCAGTGGTTACTTTACCATTTGCATCACAGCAAATTAAAAATGTGAAATGTTATATAACTTATAGAAGTATATGCCAGAATGTACCAAAAGCATTATGGAATAGGGCATGTACTTAAATATTCTCCTTTCTTTAAAGACTGGCTTAGCTGTAGCCAGAAGAGCAGAATAGGTATGCCATATTCCGTGCTGGTCTGTCTGTTAAGGAGTGACCTATCAGTTTCCTATAGACAGATGGCTTTTTCATGAGATGGTTTAAATCTCAAATTCCTGCCTGTTTTGACTTGGGGAGGATGGGCACAATCTATTCCTTCAACCTGAGGCTGTGTGTAGACATATAAAACAGGTGTTTTTCTGCCTTGCAAACAAAAGATGAGGACGAGACTTGAATGATTTCAGTTTTAATTCATTAAGGGAAAATGAATGAAGTGTCTTCTTGCAGAATTCCAAAGAATACCCCACTGTCAGTGGGGAAGCATATAGTGTCGGATGACATCCTAGATTTATAGATGCGGTATATAATGAAGCTTATCATTACTGTTAAACTTATTCTTGAAACTGCAGTAAGACTTTTGGGACACACATTCATGTATATATGTGTGATGTATGTGTTCATTGATATACCTTCACGTGTGCATTGTGTATGTGTACATGTGCATGCACAAATTGTATGTTCGCATGTATATATAGGATCACATGTGTACACCACACATGAATATACATGTGCACTTATTGCAAAAGTTACACAGATATGAAATACTAACATAAATTGCATGTGGATTGTGTTTTATTCTTCTTGTAGGTTTCTTCCATAGAGACTTAAAACCTGAAAACCTTCTTTGCATGGGACCAGAACTTGTGAAAATAGCCGACTTTGGATTAGCCAGAGAAATCCGATCAAGACCACCTTATACGGACTATGTGTCTACGAGATGGTGAATACTGTTTTGTTGTCTCTCAAATACAGAAAATTATTTTTCTTTAAATGATGAGCCATCACTTTAAGGATAACATTAAAGTTGTCATGTTATAGTCACATTAACATTTTGTTAAGAGAAATACTTTGAATAGATATTATATTATGCAGAATACATAGTTCATGTTGTACATATTCTGTGAAGGGTATTTTTTCTTGATTTATCTATATGTATAAAGGCTATTTTTTAGATAAAGCATTTTTGCCTGAAGGCACTTGAGCTGCAGAGGTATTTGTCTAGAGTGGTTATGATTCCAATCATATGCTTTGCAGACATGTCTGAAACAAATACAAAGAAATTTTGAGAGATCACCCTTAGCTCGAGGTATCAGTGTAACCTATAGCCTAGGACTTCCCCAAGACTCTGGGCTCACATCTAAGTTTTATGAACTATGAAGATCAGCTTCTCTTTTTGGCTTATTATACTCACTTGGAATTACTCATAACCCATACAAGCACTCAGCATAGCAAACACCTGTAGAGTATGGGACTCCCTTTTTTATACCATGGAAAATTCAAAAGATGCAAATGGCTTACAGGATGTCATAAACAGATACAGAGACATATACAGCACTGAAGTTGCCCATAAGCTTATCCTGGAAGAAAACTGGCCATGGAATTTCTGTGGAAGCAAATCTTTGACATTCTAGTGAGTCTCACTTTTCCACGGGGCCCTCCACAGCTCCGCAAAGACTCATAGTATCATCCTATGTTTTATATAAAACCTCATAAGAAAAATTCTCTTTCCTTACTGTTGATACTAATATGCTGATGCTTAACACAGCCTGAGCTGTATCTCACATGATGCAATAAATTTGTCTTGGGTCTCGTTCTTGATTAGGGCCTTGCTATTTTTCATTAATTCATCTCTAGTCGTAAACTGTGACAGATCTATATTTCACACTTAGCTAGATTAAAAATGAAACTTATAAACTCTTTCACTGGCATTAATCATGTTATTTAATTTAAATTTCAATTAAGCAAAGTAATAAATAGCAATCTATTTTTTGTTACCCCAGGTATCGGGCTCCAGAAGTTCTCCTGAGATCTACCAACTACAGTTCTCCTATTGACGTGTGGGCAGTGGGATGCATCATGGCAGAAGTTTACACACTACGGCCGCTCTTCCCAGGCGCCAGTGAAATTGATACAATATTCAAGATTTGCCAAGTGCTGGGAACACCAAAAAAGGTAATTAGGTGGGATCTAGGTCCGTAGGTCAAAAGCTATGACTTCCTTGGGCTTCATTTCCTTAACTTTTTGCATCATTAAAAATGATGCCCATCCTATCCTTCTTAAATTTTCCTCCTCCCTTTACTTCCGTAGCTCTAATCTGGTCCTCCTTCCATTTCTCTGACCATTTTCCTGCCTCTTTTACTTGTCTTCCTCTGCTTCCCCTGACTATAGGTATTCCCCAAGTCTGAGTCCTCAGCCATCAAATAACTTATCCCTTTAGAGCTGTGATTTCAACTCTTCCCTTTCTCCAGGTGACTCCTATGTCTGTCTCTGACTCATTTCTCTTCTAAGATATCATTTGCACATTTCCACATTAATGTCCTACCATCGCTTCCAACTCTGGGAATTTAGACTAAACTTTGTCTTTGTAGCCAAACCATGTCTTCTCTCTGATTTCTCTTCATCTAGCAGAGTAACTGCTAGTTCTCCTTTTTAGTCAGGCTTAAATAAAATCTAGAACTCAAACATGACCCCTCCCTTTTGTTTAACCTTCATATCTAATAAGTCACCAGGTCTTATGAGTCCTTCCCTCATAATGTCTCCTGAAAGCATCATTTCTTTTCTGATCCTAGTTCATCCAGGCTTTCATCATTCTGCCATAATTACTGCAATAATCTCCTAATTTATCTTTCTGACTTTAGGTAGCCAGGTGGCACAGTGGATAGAGTACCAGACCTGGAATCAGGAAGACTTAAGTTCAAATCTGGCCTCAGACACTTCCTAACTATGTGAACCTGGGGAAATTACTTGTAACTTCTGTCTGCCTCAGTTTTCTCAACTGTAAAATAAGGATAATAATAGCACTTAACCTCCTAGAGTTGTTATGATACTCAAATAAGATAACAGTAAAGCATTGAGCACAGTGCCTGGCACATAGTAGGTGCTTAATAATGCTTGTTCCTCTTACCTTCTCTCTTTAATCTCTCATCCCTCCAGTCCTTCCTGCGCACTTCCAGAATGCCTTCCTACCTCTTTTCTATCTACTTGAACCCTATGCATCTTCTAAGATCCATTTCAAGTCTCAGACTCTTCACAAAGCCTTCCCTCAATAACCTGGTTCATTTTGATTTCTGTTTCTTCATAACTCTCACAGTCCTTATTTTCTGTAAAACTGAACATTGCTCTGTGATAATGCAAATATTTTTGTTTCATACTGATATTTAATTTTTGTACTGTTATTTTCTCTGTGTGTGTATGTGTGTGTGTGTACTTCATCTCCCAATTAGATTATAAGATCATTAACTATGAGATTCTATATTTTTCTTCTTGGTATCACCCCCTTCCACGAGTACCTAGTTCAGCACTTTGCCCAAAGTGGATGCTTAGTTAGTATTTGCTAAATAAATGAATGAGAGCAAATGAACAATTACTAGATATTCCCAAGCCCTGTGCTGCGATTTTCATATTACTGCCTATACCTGACATTGCCAAGTAGTAATCTACCAGTAATCTAAAAAGGTCAGAAAACCTCTGAGGTCTCCAGCTGCCCCGGGATGTTTGTGTTGAGTTTGGGACTCAGGAAACTTTTGCCTGCATCAGAAGCTCTGTGGTCCCTCCTCATGTAGAAGCTATACTCAATCCTATAAAATGGCTCCAATGTTTCCAAATTGTTCAGGAGGTGGTCCTATTCATTCCATGCTACTCCCCTTCTTCCTTCCTCTGCTCCCTGGTTGTTTAACCCAACTTGGGAGGAAGGAGAGGAGGCCTCAGTCCATAGATATAGGCTTCCCATGCCCAACACTTAGACTTCAGGATCGGTGATAGAGTTCATCAAAGTTGTACTGAATTCTGGGCATCCAGCATAGTGTCCAGCATTCATACTTCCATTACTGAACCAACTTAAAAAAAAAAAACTGGTCTATTTCCAGCTAGCTGAGATAGCAGTGAGCTGTCAGTAGCTGTCAATAAATATAAAGCAGGAGCTCTCAGAAAATACAGAAAAATAGGAATTAAGACAAGCAGTTCTGGACTAGAGACCCATGGAGGACAGTAGAATGGCTTTGTCACCTGCTTACATTTTCATGCTGGTCCTACTTCTCTAGTGCCCGTAGAAACATTTACTCATTGTTTATAAGGAATAATACTGTGGAACCATAATCCTCTAAATGGTTTTGGCCATACTGCAAGGCCCAAGACATAATAGCTATATACAATAAAGGACTGCTCTAGATCCTCCAATTACCTTGTATTTGTATGGGGCTGGGATTGAAGTCAAAGGGCTCAGGTTCAGAGCTTAGCTTTACCCTTCACTTCTTGTGTACCCTTGGGCAAATCGCATAACTTCTCTAGGAAGTAGAGTCATCCTTTATAAAAGGAGGGGATTTAGACCAGATGGTTCTCAGAGGCCCTGCCAGCTAGACATCCCTGAACCAATGATCTATAGAAATGTTATATTGTCCCATTATAAAATGTAACTCCTCGTGAGCAGAGATTGTTTTCTGGATTTCCAGGCTCCTAACACAATGCCTTGTACCTATTAGGCACTTAATAAATGCATATTGAATTTAATCGAATCTGTATTTAAAGTTAATTGAATTGTATTGCTAGAGCCTGAGTAGGCTTTAAAATTGGTGCTTGTCCTGGTCTGTTGGTAACAATCACTCAACAAGCATTTATTAAGCACTTATTATGAGCCAGGGCACCCTGCTAGTTGTTGGGGTTTTTATAGACAGAAACAGTACCTGCTCTTAGGAAGTTTACATTCTTTCTAGTTTGTTCAGTCGTTTCAGTTGTGTCTGATTCTCTGTGATCCCATTTTGGGTTTTTTTTTCTTGAAAGATACTGGAGTGGTTTGCCATTTCCTTCTCCAGCTCATTTTACAGGTGAAGAAACTGAGGCAAACAGGGTGAAGTAACTTGCCCAGGGTCACACAGCTAGTAAATGTCTTAGGACAGATTTAAGCTCGTGAAGAGGAGTCTTCCTGACTCCAGGCCCAGCTCTCTATCCACTGCCCCACTTAGCTGCCCATGCTTTCTAGAGGGGCATCTTAAAGAGTTTCTACCATACAACTACTATCTTAAAACAAAAATAACTGGATGGGACTTCAGAGACCACCTAATCCAACCCCTTCATTTTACAGATGAGGAAACTGAGACTCGGGAAAACGAAGTGACTTTCCCAAAGTTGCATAGAGGGCAGATGCCAGAAGTAAGACTCGAACCCGGGCCCTATAATTCCAGAGTCAGCATTCTTTCTACTACACTCCCTGTTTCCAGTATCAAACGAGATCATATATGTAAAGCACTTAACAAATCTCAAAGTGCTATTTAAATGCTAGCTACTATTATTAATTTTCAGGAGTTATTTTCCTTGAGAAAGAAAAGTTAATGTCCTTTGTAATCTTGTCACCCACGTGTCCTTGTCGTGTTGCCTATCAAGGCTAGGTAGGAGCTTCTATCTAAAATTGTGGCTATATAGAATGTGTGATCCTTCAGGACATTGCTTTGCAATAACTGGTATTTTTATTTCATGTTGATATTTAATCTCTCTCTCTCGCTCACTCGCTCTTGCTCTCGATCTCCCTCTCTTTTGGTCATCAGCTAAGTAAGGTTTTCTTTTTCCTTTCAGAATGACTGGCCTGAAGGATACCAACTTTCTACTTCCATGAACTTCCGATGGCCTCAGTGCATCCCTAATAATTTAAAAACCCTGATTCCAAATGCCAGCAGTGAGGCAATTCAGCTCATGAGAGACATGTTGCAATGGGATCCCAAAAAACGACCAACAGCTAGTCAGGTTTTCCTTCATATTCCATTATTCAATACTTTCTTATGACATATTTCATCATTGATGTGGAGAGTTCCTTCTTGTTGTTTTTACTGTTTTTTTGTCCAGACTTATAATTTCATTACCATCATCATTGTGGGGAGGGGGAGGACCTCTTCCCCCGCCCCCCCATATGGAAATTACCTCCATTGATTGAGATTGTGACTGACTTGGAGTCTTTGAGAGTCTGACTGGGGCGCCGAAGGGTTAAGCAAGTTGTCTATTGCTTACCCAGCTATTATATGTCAGAATCAGGACTTGAACCCCAGGCTTCCTGGCTCTTAGGTTGGCCCTCTATCTACTACACAGTGCTATATTTTAACATGAGGAGTAAATTTTCACAAGTCTAATTAGAATTGCTTTTATTGGTGCTTTGAATGAAAGTTGTATTGAATCCCGTATCTGCTCATAGATGAAATTTGGTCATTTAAAATATTTAAGTTTACAATGATTACAGGGAGGGTTTCTTAATGTACAAAACCAAAAGTACTGTAGTTGCTCAAATAGGGGTGTATTGTATGACATGTTGTCGTATATTAAATAATAACATAAAAAGATTTTATTTTTGTGTTTGGAGAATATTATAAAGTAGCTCATCATTTCTGAAAGCCAAGATTTCTTGACTTGTGTTTGTAATAAAACAAAATCTAGGAGCAATAGTTCTTGATTTAGGATAATTGCTGGACCCTAACTCTAAGAAGATTCTCCGAGATTTTTAGATATTTAAAATTCTAAAGACAATAACTGTTTCATCTATTAAGTGTATAATGTTGGTTTTATTGGCTTAAACTGACCTAAGCAGCTGAGCACACACATACATGTGCTCATTCTTCATAGAAAGAAATAATCTGGGGCAGCTAGGTGGCGCAGTAGATAGAGCTCCAGCCTTGGAGTCAGAAGGACCTGAGTTCAAATGTGACCTGGGACACTTGACCCTTACTCGCTGTGTGACGTGGGCAAGTCACTTAACCCCAATTGCCTCACAAAACAAAAAAAAATGGGGCAGCTAGGTGGCACAGTGGATAGAGCACCAGCCCTGGAGTGAGGAGGACCTGAGTTCAAATGTGACCTTGGACACATAACACTAACTAGCTGTGTGACTCTGGGTAAGTCACTTAACCCTGATTGCCTTGCCAAAAAAGAAAGAAATAATCAGTTCATTTGGGGGGGGACCAGGGACCAGAGGTATAATTTTATTGGTGTAAGGAATTTCTGATGAGAAAACTCCCACAACCAATGCAAGGCAGCCCCCTGTTCTACAATTAGTCAAAAATTCATTAAACGTTTATTAATTAAACACCTACTATGTGCCAGGTACTGTGCTAAACTCTAAGGAGGCAAAAGACAAACCCTGCCCACAAGGAGCTCACAATCTAATGTGGGAGACAAGCAAACAAATATGTGCAAACAAGATATACATAGGATAAAAAGGAATTACTTTTAAAAGGAAAGGCTCTGGAGTCAAGGGGCTAGACAAGGCTTCCTGTAAGAAGATAGATTTTGGTTTGGAATTAAAGGAAGCTGGGGAAGTCGGTAGGTGGAGACGAGGAGGGGAGAGCATTACATGCATAGGGACAGCCAGAGAATCAGGAGCTGGAACATCTCATTCATGAAGCAGCAAGGAGGCCAGTATCACTGGATGGAAGTGAACAAAGGTATAAGAAGACTGGAAAGGAGGGGAGGGGAAGTGTATTATGAAGGGCTTTGAATGTCAAACAGAATATTTGATCTTAGAGGTGATAGGGAGTCCCTGGAGTTGACCGAGTAGAGGAGTGACATGGGATTTTTAGGAAAATCACTTTGGCGACTGATTGGAGCACAGATTGGTGTGGGGAGAGGCTTGAGGCAATTAGACCCATCAATAGTGGTACACAGGTTAAGTGATAAGGGCCTGATCCAGAATGGTGGCCATGTCAGAGGAGCAAAGGGGGTGTATTTTAGAGATGTTGCAAAGGTGGAATCAGTAGACCTTGGTAACAGACTGGATATGGGGTGTGAGAGACGGTGAGGAGTCAAGAATGACCCCTAGGTTGCAAGCCTGAAGGACTGGGAGGATGATGGTGCCTTCTACAGTAATAGGTAATAAGAGTAGTAAATTAATTAATAAATAATAAATTAATAGTAAAATACCATTAAGTAGGTGTGAGAAGAGGGTGTAAGGGGAAGATAAGGATCTACAAGTTAACAGTCTTAGAAGGTCGCCAAGGCACTGAGAGGCCAAGGGCAGTCATAAACATGTCGCTGGAAGGGACCTCAGAGGCCATTGAGAATAACTCCCCCATTTTACGTATGAAGAAACTGAGGCCCAGAGTGATTAAGTGACATGTACCCAGGATCACACAGCCGGTATGCGTCAGAGGTGGAACGTGAACCCAGCTTTTCCTGACTTCAAGGTTGGGTCTCCATCCACAATGTCACGCTGCTTCTCTGTCATCTTTTCAAAAAGGTCACTAGATTGGTGAATCAGGAGACTTCTGCGAACCTTGTTTCATTTGTATTTCAACAAGGCATTTGCTGGAGTCTTAAAACATGTGGACGCTTTAGAGAAATGTGGGCTAGTTAGTAGTATGAGCTTATAAGCTAGTTGAGTGGCCATGTACAAAGAATCCTCATTAATGAATCCTTGTCAGCTTGGAGGGAAGTCTTGAGTAGTATACCACAGAGCTCTCATCAGCCCTGTCCTATTGATTTTTTTTCATCAGTGACTTAGATAAGGCCTTTTAAAAAAAAAAAAAAAAGCATTCACATCAAATTTTCAGAAGACAGATGGAAGGGTTTTGGTTGGATAATGGGAATGATGATTCAGAAAAGGCACAGATGGATAAAGAAAGTTTTTCTGTCTTTTTTTTTGTCTGGGGTTTACTTGAAGGCCACAAAATGTAAGGTAGCTGGAGTATCTACCTCAAAGAAGTAGCATTTGTATTTGGGAATTTTTTTTTGCCCTCTTCCTTCCCTTCAGTGTTATCAGGGTGTTACTCAGAACTTGAAATATTTTTCTAGAAGAGATTCATGAGAAAATTGATGCAGGCCCTGTGTAAGATTTTCCATCTTATTATGATATTAACAGGATAATTTTTAGTGTTGCTGGGCCTGGAATGCTGATGTTCAAAGTAAATCACTAAGGACAACTTAGGGGAAATCCTGTATTAATGTTATATCAGCAGGTGTTCCCTTTTAACAGTGAAGCTGTGGGTTTTTCAGTTATTTCTGTCCCAGACGTATTAGCACAGATTATTGTCATGGTGAGGGACATTCCTCTTTCACAGTCTATCAACAAACTTTGCAACTGAGATAGAAAAATGAAATGGTGGGGCAGGTAAGTGGCACAGTGGATAGAGCTCTGGCCTTGGAGTCAGGAGGACCTGAGTTCAAAATCAGCCTCAGACACTTGACACTTAACTAGCTGTGTGACCCTGGGCAAGTCACTTAACCCTGATTGCCTCACCAAAAAAAAAAAAAAAAGAAAGAAAGAAAAAAAATGAAACCAGCTTCCCTCCTTGCAATAGATAGATTTGGAGAAGGAAATGTGTGATACCTTTTAGAATAATTTTCCTTTTTAAAAGTTATTACAATGTAAAAGTCTGGAACTTGAGAGATCTACATGATCCCTAAGATCCCTCCCAGCTTTAAATCTATGATGCTTTCAAGATGGGGCTATCTAGAAGAAACCATTTTGGGGAGGGCACCCAGAGAAAAGTACCAGGATGGTAAAGTCTGAAGATCATGTCATATGAGTATCAGTTGAAGAAACTGTTGACACTTAGCCTGTAGAAGACGACCCAGGTGCTGCGTGATATCTGTCTCTTTGTATTTGAAGGGATGGAAAGAAAAAAGAAAAAAAAAAGAAAGAAGAAAGAGGAAGGAATTAAAGTTGTCTGGATTGATGTGAAAGGGAGGAATTTAGGAGCAGTGAGTAGAAGTTGGCATGGTAATCAGGAAAAACTTTTTAAAAATATGAGCAATCCTGAAAAATACTAGGATGCTTTCTGGGGGTAGTGGGCTCCCATTCACTAGGGGTGTTTGAGCAAAAAGTAGGTGAGCACTTGCCAGATATGTTATAGACTCTTATCCAGATAGAGATTTGATTTCATGGTCTCTGAAGGCCCTGCCAGTTCCAATGTGCTGTGATTCTGATTTTGCATAATAATTTTCCAGGGGTTCTCAGTGACCAAAATGTCACTGTATAACTTGTCTCTTAAAGGACCTGAGTTGTAAGGTGTTTCCATGATGTTTTTTTAACAATCCACAACTTTAGAAAGCTCTGGGATCATTTCATTGTGTGGTAGGATTGTATTTTTCTTTCACTCCCACAAAATGTGGAAAAAGGCTCAGATGGCGCAAGTGACATATTTATGACACACAACAAAAGAAAAAAAAAACACACAAAATCATTGATGAGACAAGAATTAGAGTTTAAAACTATAGTTTCAATCCATTCTGCTTTTCAATAATAACAACAATAATTGCTGGTTGTTGACAATATAAAAATATTTATAACCAGTACGTAGAAACCAATAATAGTACATAGAAAAGCCAAGATTTTTTTGGGGGGGGGGTGAGGCAGTAGGGGGTTAAGTGACTTGCCCAGGGTCACACAGCTAGTGTCGAGTGGCTGAGGCCAGATTCCAGCCCAGGTCCCCCTGACTTCAGGGGCCATTCTCCATCCACTGTGCCACCTAGCTGCCCCAAAGCCAAGATTCTTAAGCAATAGGACATTACTATTCTTGAACATTCTAGTTATCTTAGAAAGAGAAAGCTCCATGGGGACAGTATCAGCATAGGATACAAGTTTCTGCATGGCCTGGATCATATGGAGAAAAAGGCAACATTAAATTGACTGCAGAGATCAGGGCTATTACTGGTTCCTTTAAACCTGTTTTATAATTTATGCCTCATATGGTATATAGGGAAGTGTGATAGAACTAGAGTTAGAAAGGCATTGGTTTAAATCCTGTTTCTGATAATAGCTGTGTGACTTTTGATGAGTCACATAACCTCTCTAAGCCTCAGTGTCCTCATCTGTAAAATGGGAATGAGTAATAATACCTGTAGTACCAATCTGGGCCCCAAGTAAAATAATAATGTATGTTAAGTACCTTGCAACTTTAAAGGAGTTTGTAAGTATCAGTGAAGCCGCTGGCATAATTCAAATCCTGTCTCAGACAAATACTAGCTATATATCCCTGGGTAAGTCACTTATCTCCCTGGATAAATGCAACTCTCCAAGGCTGTAACAGCTTGCCATTTCTGGGAGGGGTGTGGGGAGGGAGGGAAAGAGAGAATTTGAAACTCAGAATGTTTTAAAATGAATATTTGAAAATTATTTTACATGTAATTGGAGAAAAAATAAAATATCATTAAAAAAAGGACTGTAAGTTATGGATGAACTGTCAGTCTTCATCGGCAGAGAGAAATTCCATACCAAGAGTTTCTCACAGAGATGAAATTAAGATCTAGACTAGGGTTTCTTGACCCTTTCTTTGTCATGGATCCCTTTGACAACCTGGTGAAACTTATGGACCCCATCTCAGAATATTTTCAAATGCATGAAATAAATATATAGGGAAATCTAGGCACTAGGTTAAGAACCCCTGGTCTAGACAATGTAAATAAATATCCATCTGTTGTTTTTGTTGACCTTTGCCAGGTACTTAACCTCTGTTTGCCTCAGTTTCCTCATCTGTAAAATGGAGATAATAATAGAACTACCTTTGTGGGGATTAAATACAATAATATTTGTAAAGTAATTTGAAAATTGTGAAGTGCTAGCCATGATTATTATTGTTGTTGTCGCTCTTAATAACCCTCACTTCTCAGGATTATTGTGATGGTTAAATGAGATAATAATAATAATAGCTAAAATTTAAGCTCATTTGATCCTTGAAACAACCCTGGGAGGCAGGTGTTGTTACCATTATCCCCATTTTACAAATGAGGAAACTGAGGCAAACAGAGGTAAAGCTATTTGCCGAGGGTCACACGACTGGTGTCTGAAGCTAGATTTGAATTCAGGTCTTCCTGACTCCAGGCCCAATGCTGTATCCACTGAGCCATCTAACTGCCCATATATGAAAGATAAATGTAAAACAGTTTGCAGACCTTAAAGTTACATATAAATGCTAGCTACCATTGCTGTTGTCCCATCTTCACCATAGTATGATGACATCTAGGAAACTTGGGAAGAAACTTTGAGCACTTTCCTGGGAAAAATGGTCTTTTACCTAATTCTGTCTACTTTGTTGGTTTCAGGCACTTCGATATCCCTACTTTCAGGTTGGACATCCCCTAGGCAGCACTCCCCATAGCCTTCAGGAAATGGGGAAACCGCAGAAAGAATTCCAGGAGAGGATGGGACCACCAGCTCATGTGAAACCCGTCCCTCCTGCAAACCCCCCGGACAAACCACATCCGCGGATTTCTTCTCGACCACAGCAGCACAGCCAGCTCCCGCAGCATCTCCTATACCCATACAAAACAGAGGCTTCGACGGCAGATCCTGAGAGCCAGCATCAAGAGCACCAGCCTACTCCAATGCTTTTCCCAGCCCTCCACAGCAAGATTCCTCAGAATGTAAGGCACTTCAAGTGAACCTTTTGAACTCGGGACCTCCTGACTCTGAGGCCCGAGCTCTATTGGGGTTTTCTTGGCAGAGAAACTGGAGTGGTTTGCCATTTCCTTCTCTGGCTAATTTTACAGATGAGAAAACTGAGGCAAACAGAGTTAAGTGACTTGCCCAGGGTCACACAGTTAGTAAGTATCTGAGGCTAGATTGGAACTCAGGAAGATGAGTCTTCCTAAATTCCAGGACCAGCACTTTATCCACTGTGCCACCAAGCTGCAGGCCCTAACTAGCTATGTGATGTTGGACGACTCATTTAACTCCCCTGAGAAAAGAGGTAAATTTCATCCTGAGGTAAGGAAGTATTTCCAAACAGAAATCAAATGGGCATCCTTGGGAGATAGTGAGGTTCCCCTTAGTGGAAGCCTTCGAGCAAAGGCTGGGTAAGCGCTTGGATTCATTGTATAGGGCTTTATTTTCCAGGTATGGGTTGGCCTCAGTGGCCCTCAAAGTTTTCTTTTCAGCTCTGAAATTTTGTGATTCTATAATTTCATTTTTTAATACTTATATACACTAGTTTTTCTTGTTTATTCAATATAGGTTATTTACTGAGAACCTACTGTGTGTTGAGCACTATTTTCAACACTGAAGAGAATATAAAAGAAGTAGGAAGCATGGTCCCTGCTTTTAGAGAGCTCTATGTTCTGGAGACAAGAGGGAAATACAACTAGGTGGGACAGTGGGTAGAACACTGGACCTAGAGTCAGAAAGACCTGCCTCACACACTTATTAGCTGTCTGACCCTGGGCCAGTCACTGTACCTCTATTTGCCTCTGTTTCCTCATCTGTAAAATGAGGATCATACTAGTACCTTCCTCCCAAGGTTGGGGTAAGGATCAAATGAAATAATAATTGTAAAACACTTAGCACAGAGCCTGACACATATTTGGTGCTATATAAATGTTAGCTATTATCATTGTTATTATTACACAAGAGATAAAGTGTAACACAAGATAGTATCAGAAAACACAGAATGCTGTGATGGAGACAGTATCTATAGAGTCCCAAGAAAGAGATTAACAAGAATTTGGATGCTTGGAAAACTCTTCATAGAGAACATTTATTTCTTGGCTCACTCCCCAGTATATAAAGCTACCCCCCAATATCCTTTCCTACCTTCTTCTTCTTCCCGTGATCCCCAGTGAGCCTTTTTTTGTAACAAAGAAAACAGCTAGGGAAAACCAACTAACATTTGAACTATGTCAGATAGCATATTCAGTGTTCTGTGCCCATACTCACCCTCTCCAAGGAAAGGAGGCAAGTCCAATATTTTTTTTTTTATTTTTTTAGGCAATTGGGGTTAAGTGACTTGCCCACAGTCACACAGCTAGTAAGTGTCAAGTGTTTAGTCTGAGGCTGGATTTGAACTCAGGTCCTCCCGACTCCAAGGCCAGAGCTCTATCCACTGTGCCATCTAGCTGCCCCTTTGAAGACATTTCTTGAAGGATCATCAGAATGTATTTTTAAAAGAGAAAGCAATAACTGTTGCACTTAAAATAGGCACTGAAGCTCAGACCCTGACTTCTTTTCAGGCTGTATAGCATGAAGAATAAGAAGTTTTCTCTAAATGAGGCAGGTAGCAGAAACTTTCAACGCTGTCAGTCCTTCAGGGGCTGCCAATCAACTTCTGTGTGCAGGGCACAAGGCTAGGTTCTCTGAACAATATAAAAATGATATTTCATTGCCTATGAAAAATGAATCTTTTGGTTAAAAAAATATAGTAAAAAGCAGTTGTTTCTACATAATTAACAGATAGCAATACAATCCAGTCCAATCAACATTTATTAAGCACCTACTGTATGCCAGGCACTGTGCTAAGTGCTTAGAGTACAATTGATAGAAAGAAAGACAGCCCCTGCTCTCAAGGAGTGGGAGATACTACCCCAAAGGAGGCAAGAAGGGAGAGGGATTGGTCACTTAGAGGTACCTGGCATGGGAGTATCTTGTTCCATGGAGTTGAAACGAGGCAGGACGGCAGATCTAAACTGGAGTGAATTGGGTCCAGTTTCTGCTCTCTGTAAAGGAAGACAGACAGTGGCAGGAGTTTTGTACTCTGCCCTGCAGCTGTCCAGTCAGAGGGAAAAGGAGGCTGATGGAGGTGGTGTCAATAAGGCTTGAGTTATCAGCGTGGTGGTGAGCTTAGAAGTGATAAGCTTCACCTGAGAGGGCTATCTTGGTCTGTGGAACTGAAACTAGGCAGGGCAGCAGGTGCAAAGTGGAGGGAGGAACTGAGAGTCCAGTTTCTGCCCTTTATAAAAGAAGGCAGGACAGGTAGGCAGTGCCATAGTGCACCCAGTGCTATACGTAGAGTCTTCTGGCCTCAGATACTGGCTATGTGACCCTGGGCAGGTCACTTAACCCTGTTTGCCTCAATTTCCTCATCTGCAAAGTGAGCTGGAGAAGGAAATGGCAAACCACTCTAGTATCTTTGCCAAGAAGACTCCCAAATGGGGTCACAAAGAGTCAGACACAACTGAACAACAGCAATAAAGGAAGGCATTAGGAGCAGATAGTTCTTAATAAGAAATGTCTCTTCTATTTCATGATTAATTAGCACAATGGTCATATGGGCCTCTACACCAGATTTGTATGCCCTTGTATAAATGATAATCTGAATTGTGTTAACTCTCTAATAAGTAAGGATAGGATAAGAAGCTAGTCTTCCTAAAAAATGTAAGGAGTCATTTCTAACTTTTTACCAATTAATTTTTTAGGTAATTACAGTCTTCCATAGTTGGGAAATGATATAATCTGTATTAACCAGGATCATGATAATAAGTCTAAGAATCCTCTTCCAAAAAATTCATTGCATGCAGTAGCCCCAGTCCTGCTTTTATTAGGGAAGCAGCGATGTGGTATAGTAGAAAGAATACTCAATTTGGAATCAGAAAACCTGAGTTCAAATCCTGCCATCTATCACCTGTGCGACCTCCCTAGTTCTCCCCCCCAATGTAAAATTAAAAAATTGATCTACAGAGGGCAGCTAGGTGGAACAGTGGATAGAGCACCGGCCTTGGAGTCAGGAGGACCCGAGTTCAAATGCGGCCTCAGACCCTGGGCAAGTCACTTAACCCCAATTGCCTTACCAAAAAAAAAAATTATCTAGATAAACTCTCAAGACTTTCCAGCTCTAAATCTAGTATCCTTGATTTGTTGACAAGGACATACTAAGTGGTAACTATGCAGCCCAGCTGTACAGTGGTTTGAGAAATCAAGTTCAAATGTTGCCTCAGACATTTACTTAGATATGTGAGCCTGGGCAAGTCACACCTTGCCCTGCATATAATAGGTGCGTACTAAATGCTTGTGGACAGTACATCTCTCTTAGCTTCAGTTTCCTCATGTGTAAAATGAAGATAGTAATAGCACCACCCTTACAGGATTGCTGTGAGGATCAAATGAGATCATACGTGTAAAATGCTTTGAAGACTTAAAAGAACTAAGTGCTGCTTGTTATTATTAATAGCAGACATTAACTAAGCACTCAGATGTGTCAGACCTTGTTATACGTCTGTTGTTCTAGGAACAAAATAGCCCTTGTCCTCAAGGAGTCTACATTGTTCTAAGGGGAAGGGGGAAAGAGCATCTCCTTAAATATGCAAATGTAAAATAAAGAAAAATAATGAGAGTGAGTGGGGAACATTAATGAATCCTAGAGGAGTGCTTTTAATGCTGAGGGTTATCTTTTTTTCCTCCTTTGTGTGTTTACAGAAGATTCAGGCTGGTGTGGATCACCCAAACGGTGAAATTAAACCAAAGAGTAGGAGGTGGGGCCATGTTTCCAGGTCAACAAAGGATTCTGATGATTGGGATGATTTGAATGACCTCGATTTCAGTCCTTTCCTCACCAGAACTGATCTAAAAAATAAGAAAAGACAGAGTGATGAAACTCTCTGTAGGCAAGTTTTATATTATTTTCTTTCTTTTTATTATCATTTATATGTTTATATTGTCATTTCTCAGAGTTTATGCATGTGGTATACAAGCTCTGGCAGATTCTCCCGAATTGGAAAGACTTCCAGGAATAATCCTGATATTGGACTGTATTTCTCTTGTGCCAAGGGCCAGCCTAGCTAAATTCAGAGGGTCATTGCTAGCCACTGGGCTGCAAGGGGATGAGTCTTCCATCCCAGCAGCTGGCTAAGGCCATCTATTGAGTGGTATAGGAGCTTTGATATGTATTGTATATAAGAGCAACCATTACAAAATCACAAATGCCTGAAGTAATGATCTTGCACTGGTGAAAATCACTCTGTGAAGATCGTTACTCTGGAGCTAAAATAAAGCGTGTTGTCTTGTTACAGATTTGAGAGTGTTTTGGACCTGAAGCCTTCAGAACCCATAGGTACCGGTAACAGTGCACCCACCCATACTTCCTATCAGCGACAAGACACCCCAACACTGCGATCTGTAGCCAAGCAGCATTACTTGAAGCACTCTAGATACTTGCCTGGTAAATAGAAATTATTTGTCTTTAACATTATAGGCACTTAATAGATGCCTGTTGATTGGTTGGTTGATGATAAATCAGTGACGTTCCTAGTCCAAAAAAATGTACTTTAGAAGGCAAGACAAACTTTTAGTGGACTATGTAAGAACTAATGAAAACACTAGAAGAACAGTTGTTGAAGCCCATGAGTCATAAAGCCATCCTATGCCACGTAGTTTCCAATTTCCTACTCTTAGATTTAGGCATAGTGATAAGAATGTGGGGCAGTGTTTTGTTTTTGGGGGGTTTTTTGTTTGTTTGTTTGTTTGTTTGTTTTCAGGCAGTTGGAGTTAAGTGACTTGCCCAGGGTCACACAGCTAGTAAGTGTCAGGTGTTTGGATTGAGACTGGGTTTGAACTTAGGTCCTCCTAACTTCAGGGAAGGTGCTCTATCCACTGCACCACCCAGCTGTCCCCATGGGGAAGTGTTTTTTAAAAGAGTTGATGACCATCTGTGCTTGAGAAACAAGGGAAAAGGGTGAACACAGGAAATAAATCCTTGTCAAAGTAGCTGTTGACCTTCAGTTTTCTAATGAGGAACCGAAGCTCTGCCTGGAATAACATTCTCAGAATAAAGGAAAGAATTGTCTTCTAGTCTGCTTAGAAAACTCTTCAGAATGGTCTTACCAGAAGTAGTCTGCCTTTCAGCCTCTTGACAAAAAGTGTTTCAGCTAGGAAATAGTAATAGACATTTTTGTTGTTCATTTTTCAATCATGTTCGACTCTTCATGACCCCATTTAGGGTTTACTTGGCAAAGATACTGGAGTGGTTTGCCATTTTCTTTTCCAGCTCATTTTACAGATGAGGAAACTGAGGCAAGCAGGGTTAAGTGACTTGCAGAGGGTCCCAGTAAGTATCTGAGGCCAGAACTGAATTCTGGAAGATGAGTCTTACTGTCTCCAGACCTAACACTCTATCCATGGCGCCACCTAGTTGCCCACTAATAGACATTAGTCATGAGAATTATGATGTACTACTCTTGGGAAACTTTTCTGTTATATGGATCAAATATAGGTTCATCTGAGTGGTTACCAATTTGGATTAAGTATACTGAGTCAGAAAGTCAGGCAGATAGTCAAAGGCAGAGAGATAATACGCATGGGAGCCAACCTTGGATTCAAGAAGATTCAAAGGTACAGCCTTTGACACATATTAACTAGAGGAAGCTGAGTGGTGCAGTGAATAGAATGCCAGGCCTGGAGAAAGGAAGACTCATCTTCATGAGTTCAGATCTGGTCTCAGACACTTATTAGCTGTGTGACCCTGGACAAGTCACTTAACCCTGTTTACCTCAGTTTCCTCATCTGTAAAATGAGCTGGAGAATGAAATGGCAAACCACTCCAGGATCTTTGCCAAGAAAACCCCAAATGGAGTTATGAAGGGTTGGAAATGACTAAAAAATGACCAAACAATAGCAAAAGATAATTAACCATTGGCAAATCACTTAATTTATCTATCTCTATTGTAACTCTCTCTTTCTTACTCTCGCTTTCTGTCTAAATTTACTGAATCTAAATTTGAGCACCATCCAGATAGGCTTCTATGTAACCTGCATGTCATACTTACATATCTCCCATGGCCAATAAAGTATATGTGTAAAATATATACACTTATCCAAAGAAATTTTGTGGAGATAAAAATCAATAAGACTTGGCAACTTTCGTGGTTGGTTTTATAGGAACTGTTTAATTGTTTATTAAATTAAATGTTTAATTTAATTCAGGTTTTATATTATTGCTTTTCTGAACCTTGATATAAGACTAAATATACAAATTACTTTTTAATTGTTTCCTTTTAGGGATAACTATTAGAAATGGCATACTTCCAAATCCAGGCAAGGATTTTCTTCCACCTAATTCATGGTCTGGTTCTAGTCTCTCTGGAAAATCTTCCGGTTCAGTATCAGGAATCAGCAGAATGAGTTCAGGTGAGTAATAATTAAATGCTGAAAGGTAGCAAGCAGATTACACTGGATTTAGCAAATTCACGAGAGGAGTTTAATGCAGTTAAGGCCCTTGTTTTTGCCCTTTCAGATTTTATTGTATTGCACTTAGCATTATTTTCTTCTCTTGGGTGGTCTGTAGAAACTACTATGACAACATCCCTTCCCTTTCTACCTTAGCTGATTCCCCCCCCAAATGTTCTCTGTCATGCTTCCCCTTCTAGTTTCTGTATTTCCTCACATAAATATGTCTTTTTAATATAAAATTCTATTCTACTTCCCCTTTTGATTAATCATAGATTAATTAACCTTAATTAATTTTAATTAATTAATTAATCTTAAGAGCTATCCATAAAGGGAAATTTTCTAGTCATGAATTCCATCCAACTATGAGGTTGAATTTGCTTACCAGTATTGGAAATTCATTAGTTAACCTCATCACGGTATTTTATATTTTATGCATATGTGTATAAAATATTTGAGACTATGGGTTTTGTTTATGGCTTTCTTCTTGGATATCACCTTCTATGAATTATTGGTTTTCTCACTAATACATTCTTATTCCTCTTTTGTGTCTTCTGTTTGTTGTTTGTTTTTTGTGGAATCTGACTTGGTAGATATCCAAGAATAGTTTTTTCATTTCCCTTCTATTCTCCAGTGTAATGCCTTCCTGATCAGATTCACAAGACCCCTAGCAAATATATTTTTTGATCAGTATTTATTAGGTGCACTCCTTTCTGACTGAAGCAGCTTTCTTTCTTATATTTAAGCCTTGGTCCAAAAGACTGAATTCCAATCTTAAACACAATCTTCTATTACTGCCTAAAAGTTTATCATTCCTATATTTTAAGTGATAGGAAATCCGAATCCTCTTTTTAGACACCGTCTTCTTTTACATTTTTTTTTCTATTTTTCATTTTGTAATTCTTTCTTTTGTTTTTATATCACTTTTATTGTGAAATATATTCCTCCCCTATCCAGTGAGCTATTTCAGTAACAAAGAATAAGAACAGAAAGAGGAAAAAACAAAATATTTCAGCAAAACTATGAAACACATCTGCTGAATCTGACAGAGTATATAATCTTCTGCACTCATAGTACCCTCCCTCTGCAAAAAAAAGTAGGGAAGTGAATTTTGTAATATCTTCCCAGAGAAAATTAGTCATCCTAATTCCACATTGTTCAGTTTCCTTGTTAGTGTTCTTTCCACATATAATCATTGAGTATGTTGTTTTCCTGACTGTTCTTACTTGACTTGGTATCATTCTATATAAGTGTTCTAGTATCGCTCCAAATTCATTGCATTCGCCTTTTCTTATAGCACAGTTCCATTCATATACCACAATTTCTTTAGCATTTCCCGCAATTGATGGGAACCTACTTTCTTTCTTATTCTTTGCTTCTCTAAGTGCTATCATGAATCTTTTGGTGTACATGGGAGGTCTCTTTCTTTGAGCTCCTTGGGTAATGTGTTATCTTGTAATGGGATCTCTGGATCAAAGATTATAGCCATTTTCATCATGTTTAACCTAATTGTAACACATTTCCAATAAATTATCAAATCTTGACATTTCTACACAACATCCCGCACATCTGATGCTTTCTTAGTAGTCATATAGCCACTACCTTAGTTCAGTTCAGCTGCCTCATCACCTCTTGTGTAGACTATTGCAAAAGAATCTTCATTGATCTCCTTCTTTCAAGACTCACTGTTCCAATCCATACTCTACACAGCTGCCCAAGTGATATTTCTAAAGCTCAGGTCTCCTCATGTCCCTCTCATACTCAATAAATTCCAATGGCTCTCTATTACTTTTAGGATAAAATAAAAACCCCTCTGGATGGTGTTTAAAGTCCTAAGCAATCTTTCCAACTTCAAGCCATTTCCTATGTCTGAATTTCACTCTCTCTCACTTCCCCCTCAGAGAATCCCTCACTTCCTTCAAGACTCAGCCCAAGCATAACCTTCTACAAATAACACCAATTTCCCCCTTTTGATTTATGTGGGACTGGACAACCCACTCCCGCCTTGGATTGATTAGCTATAAGCCAAATCTATAAGGTTTTTTCACATATTCATAATCAGAATTTCATAAGTCAGGTTACAGGTCGAACTACTTAGAGGGCTCATAATGGATAATTTTGAGAAGAGAGATTTGCATGTCTCTAAGATAACCAAAAGAACTTAAACATAAATTAACATCAAGTCCCCTTGTTTTCTAGTCACCCACTCCCAATGTCCATTTAATCAGCAAATTTTGAGTCCGAGATGTCCCAGGTAGTCGTCTGGTCCCTGGATATCTTCTCTTGTACATTTTGGAATAGTCTTTCATTCTCAGGGCAACTACGAAGGGTTCAGTGAACCAAAGGTCCACACGGACTATTTGTGCCCAACCTGTGGTAGAACGTTCCGAGCTCATATTGGTCTGATTGACCGCAGTCAGACACACTAAAACTTGACTCTACCATAGTGATGTCATTTTAGTCCTCTTTAAAGACAAAGGACAAAAACAACAACAGTGAAGGGAACTCTTCTTCTCTCATTTCAAATCACTTGTAGAGGTTGCTAAATAATTTTGCTAAAATCTGCTAGTCACAAGACTTAATACAATTTAGCACAGTCTCTTAAATTTGGTTCTCCAGTCCTGAAGCTTCAGAGAATTTCAGAGTTTTTTTTATATACCACTTGCTGTTTTTATCTTTACTTAAACCCTGTACCTGATATAAGAATCTTAAAAAAAAATTCATGAGGGTCTAACTTGTAAAATGAACTCTTCTGTCTTTTAAAATTATCAGATACTTTGAAAATAAAAACATAATTTTACCTTCTTTACAATTATTAATACAATTTTATGTGTAAAACCCTTAATCCAATTTTGGAAACTTATTACTGAAACATAACCAAAACCTGAATTTTCATACTAGATACATTTGGAAACCAATCATAAACATTTGTATATAGTTCTTAGAGAAAAAAAAATCTAATCCTGTTGCTTTCTCGAAATTTACTGTTCCATTTAATTAGAAAACTTTTACATTACATCTTTGTCTTATTACTTTGTCTAATTCCCCCTTTTGTAGGATATTATGCATATATTATAATTTGGCCACACATACAGATTAAAATTGAAAGATTTTTCATACTTGCATCCTATTTTAGTAACTCAGAGATATTCTAATATCAGTCTATTAATTAGTAGATTTAGCATTGTATTTATAAAACTTCTACAACTAACCTGCCCTTATTATAGAAATTTGATATGAAAGGAAAAGGAGGGATATAGTTTTAACAATGTCAAGATTCATCCCCTCAAGGTCACAGACTGACCTGACATATATCATAACAGGGAAAAAACTCTTACCTCTGTTTGATTCTAGGCACGAGTCATATATAACAGCCAGTCATGTAGTCACAGTGTATCAAAAGCTGAGGCTTATGATTAACCAGGTAGGAAAATTTCCTGTTCAGCGAGGAAATAACACAATGAGGAAACTGAGTCAAGAGGACTCATGCCAGGGTCATCCCCAGAGCTTTTCCCAGGCACAGACATCTACCTTCAGCAGTTCCTCAGATGGCAGCACGTGTCATTTTCTACTACTTTATGACAGCCAGCCCTGTAATCAAAACTCAAAACAATAATAAATTATAGTCCCAAGAATTTTTACCTCAAAAAGCAAAATTTCTCTAACTACATCTTAGGGCTTGAATATCTTTACTTGTGTTTCCCTTACAGTTAACACTTCTTTTGTCCTTTGCTTATAAAGGATACGTTAGAGCTAACCACATTCTGGAGTTTCAGACATACATCAAATACCTGAGTTAACTCATATTAATATATTGAAGTTACATCTCTAAGCCACAATATACATGTTCATAATTTTTATAAGTAGTAAATATTTTCAAAGTAAAACTCTTTATTGTGGTAAACTTATTATAATTATCTGTTTTAAAACAATATACCCCATAATGCCTGTTTTTGTCACATTCTTTTAAAAGGTCAATTCATAATCTAGATTAAAAGGGAAGTTAATATTTAACAGCATTTCTGATAGAATGGTTTCCCAAAGTATTTTACGATAGAGAATTTAGAAATACAATAATAACATGCACAATATCATGTATTTAAAACAAGAAAGAAAATTTATTACCACATGATACCAATTCAGCCAAATATGTTTCCAAATTATCCTACACAGAACATTATTAATCTTTATTGCTTTGTAATTTTATACTAATCATATCTACAATCCAGTATGTAATACATTCAACTTAAGAAATCATTTTAATAATAGTCAGCATTTATATAGTGCTCACCAAATGCCAGTCACTGTGTTAAGCACTTTACAATCATTATATCATTTTGATCCTAGCAACAGTCCTTGGAGGTGGGTAGCATTATTATTTTCCTCTTTACAGATCAACAAACTAAGGCAAACAGAGATAAGATAACTTGCTTAATATCACACAGCTAACAAATTTCTGAGACCAAAATTCAAGTCATGGTTCCTTGCATATTTTCCAGCGTTTTCATTGCTGTTGTGATTGTTCTCTAACACCTTTATTTAAGAACCTGATCTGAGATGAAAGGGGTTAACAGGGTTAGTGGAGGAGGGTCTTTGAGCTGGGGTAGAAGTCAGAGGGGAATCTGTGAGCTTGGAGTGGGGATGGATCTGGGGGTCCCTGATATAAACAACCTTTTCTCTTTTCGTGGTCAAAGAAAGATAAATAAGAGGCAGATACTTAAATTTCAGATAAATTTTAAAATGTAAACCTTATATCTTTTTTTTTCCCTTCATGCTAAGCCGCCTTCCTTCATTACACCAAAACAATAGCTCTATCAATCTTCGGGCAGTGGTTGGGGGGAATGATCCATTTACCCCTGAAACTTTTACAGAATTTATGATAAAACTATTACCTGATCTCCTAAAGTCTTCTGTTCCTCTTCAGAAACATTATAATCTCTAGCAATTCTTTTGGGTAACTTTGGGCATCCCTCATGCCTGCACCACCAATGGCTAGGAGGTGGTGGCAGTTTTGATGAGTCTCACTACATGCTGGATGCACATGCAGGGAAGACAGCAGAACTCTCCCTTGTTCATGCCAGGTTGGCAAATGAATGCCCAAGTATCTCATAGAAGGGCTTCATCACCTTTTATCTTCCTTTGGCCATTACTATGTGAACACTTTCCTGGTGGCACAGATGATTCTACCCCATCAGTCCTTGGAGATCAAAAGGTCCAGCTATGCTCTGTATAGGAAGAGCCTTATACCTGTTACTTAACTCCAGACATTTAACAATTCTATACTCTTTGTAGGAAGAGCCTTATACCTATTACTTAACTCCAGACATTTAACAATTCAATGATGTTAGACTTAGAGTCCAGAAGACCTGGATTTGATTCCTACCCAGACACTTAGTAGCTGTGTGTCCCTGGGTTTTACCTCTTTGGGCCTCAGTTTCCTCATCTGTAAAATGAGGTAATTAGATTTGATAACCTCTTAGGTCCCTTCTAGTTCTAACTCTAAGGTCCCATGATCCATTTTTCCAGTGTCAAGTCAAATCAGTAAGCATTTATTAGCTTACTATGAACCAGGCATTTTGCTAAGTTCTAGGAATACAAATATAAGAAGAAAGAAAGACAGTGTTTGCCCTCAAGGGAAGCTCCTGTGGTTTCCTCATCCAAACATTCATTATTCCTTGTGGCCTTAACTTGTGGAATATCCCTTCCTTTCCCTCTACCTCGACTCCAACTTCCTTGTGTTGGTAGAGAAACCTGCAGAGTCCCAGGAAAAAATGTTTGTGTTTTTTTTTTTTTTTTTTTTTTTGCTTTTTTTTAGGAGGGGAAGGGGAGAAAGGGCAGGGCCTCCCTGCTCCAAAAAAAAGATCCCAATACTTGCAAAGTATAGGGGTTAAGAACTGGTGAAACTTCCTTCGGCTCTGAAAATACTGGAGAGAGGGTACAAATTTGGCCTGGGCCGTATCCATATCTGCCTGAGGTCTCTATGTTGAACAGCTTCTGACATGTTGGAAGTAAGAAAAGCTGGTAAATTCCAGGTAATGTTTGGCTCTAAGGGTTAGATTGGTCAGGCTAACATGTGAAATGGAGCTGAATGCCAATCCATGTAGTGCCTTACTATCAAATGACTCCACTGAGTTCCCCTATGCCCCCTTTTTTGTTGTAAGTGGGGCAACCGCAGGATAGGAGGCAGGGAAGACCAGTTCCCTGGAAAGCATTTATGTTTTGTGTAGGGACAGAATGCAGGACTTGTATCTAGGAAGACCTTTCTTCAAATCCTGCCTTGGATACTTATTAGCTGTGTGACCCGGAGCAAGTTACTTAGAGACCTAATATTTTTATGCCTCAGTTCCCTCAATTGTAGAATGAAGGGATGGAATTTAATGGCTTCTAAGGCCCTAGAAAGAACCTAGTGAGATTTTCACACCACTGAAGGCATGGGGGAACTGAGACTGATGAGAAAACAGCCTATGTGTGTCTCCTGTCACACACTCACTGAGTGGATGCCATTCGTAACTGTTGGCACACTTAAAATTGTTATTTCCCTTTTCCTTTATTTTTCTGAGTACCTATAATTGTATTTGAATAAGTTACATGTGTGTATGATGAAACTCTGCAGTGCACCCCTTCTCATCCTCTGTGCTCTAAACATATTCTCCTTGTTCTTCATACAATAACATTTCATCTCCCACCTTTGCCTTTGCACAGGTGTGTGCCCCATACTTGGAATGCCCTCCATTATCACCTCTTAAAATTCCTAGTTTCCTTCAAAGCTTAGCTCAGACACCATCTCCTACATGAGACCCTTCCACATCCATCCAGCTCCAAGGGGCAGCTAGGTGGCACAGTGGATAAAGTGCTGGGCCTGGAGTCAGGAAGACCTGAGTTCAAATTCAGACACTTATAGTTGTGTGACCCTGGGCAAGTCACTTCACCTTTGTTTGCTTCAATTTCCTCAACTGTGAAATAGAGATAATAATAACACTTACCTCCCAGGATTGTTGGGAGGATCAAATGAGACAATAAGTGTAAAGTGCTTTGCACGTTAAGTTCTTTATAAATGTTAGCTATTAGTAATAACAGAACTCTCCCTCCCCTCCCTTGTAGTTACTTTATCTTTATTTACTTTTTGTATCTTTATTTACTTATTGTGCACATGTTATTACATCCCAATATAATATGAGCTGATCCTCAGGAAGTCCCATGGTTTATATGGCGCCTCACTAATGGACTTTCCTTCCTCTTGTTGTAACCCAGTTGTTTCTGGCTATACAGGATCTGGCAGACTGACAGGTAGCTATCTCCCTTCATTTCTGAAAAAAGAAGTGGGTTCTGCGGGACAGAGAGTGCACCTAGCTCCTATTTCAGATCCTTCTCCTGGTAAGTTCAGTTAACACGACGCATTAATTGTGCACACAGTGGTCCATTTATACATCCCACAACAGCTAGACAGAAGCCTCGTTTCCAAACAGGGAAGACTCAATGTCTTAGAATTTCTGGGCACTACCCCTATCACCGCCCCCCACAAAGGCTAGATAAAGAGAGGTAGTGCGAGTGTGAGGCAGTGAGGAATGTGGTAGAGTCAGACACTTCCTAGAAGACAGAGCCTGGAAGTAGATGGTTGGGTTTCTGGAAGATAGGACTTCACCATCTTCCCTACCTTTCCAAATGCAGAAGAAAATAGTCCACACACTTCTTTGAGCAAATGTCTGTGAAAGACATATTTATTACTTTATAAGCAATTTGTTTGAAGTACATTCCCTCCTCACCTCTGAATCCTAGAATCTTTGATTTCCTTCAAAGCTGAGCTCAAATACTACATCTTACAAGGGGTCTTTCCTTATCCTTTCTGCTGTCTTAGCCATCTTAGTGGCGCAGTGAATAGAACTCTAGCCCTAAAGTCAGGAAGACCTGTATTCAAATCCAGCCCTAGACACTTCCTAGCTGTGTCACCCTGGGTAATAATGCAGTATTGCAATAGAGGTGACACTAGGTGGTGCAGTAGATAGAGTGTTGGGCCTGGAGACAGGAAGACTTATCTCCCTGAGTTCAAATCTGGCCTCAGACACTATCACTTAACCCTGTTTGCCTCAGTTTCCTCATCTGTAAAATGAGTTGGAGAAGGAAATGGCAAACCACGCCAGTATTTTTGCCAAGAAAACCCCAAATAGGGTTACACAGAATTACATGACTGAAAAACAACTGAATAGTAGAGATAGAATTTAGGGCTATGTGATACAGGGGCATTCACCCTCCTCCACCTTGTGGCTATTTGTGAAGTGGTTTAGAGCCATTTTTTACAGGTAGTTGGAGGGGTTTGGGGGAGAGCTAAAGAAGGTCACTGCTTTTACTCCACCATCTTGGTTCCACCTCTGTGAAGTGGTTAAGTTGCAAATATGGCACATTAGGCAAATTACTTAACTCTGTCTATCTCAGTTTCTTAACTATAAAATCGGGGAGGGGGGGAAATAATAGTATCTATCTCCCAGGGTAGTTGTGAGGATCAAATAAGATAATGTTTGTATCGTGTTTTCCACTTATATTCTTGTTCAGTCATGTCCAGCTTTCCATGACCCCATGTACCACATAGCATGCCAGGCCCTTCTATCCTCTATGATCTCTCGAATTCTGTCCAAGTTCATGTTTGTTGTTTCCTTGCAACTATCTATCCATCTCATCCTCTGCCATCCCCTTTTCCTTTTGCCTTCAGTCTTTCCCAACATCAGGGTCTTTTCCAGTGAGTCCTGTGTTCTCATTATGTGACCACAGTATTTAAGCTTCAGCTTGAATATTTGATCTTCCAATGAATAGCCTGAATTAACTTCTTGCCTAACTTACAGTAGCCACTTGTTAATGCTTCCTTCTTTCCCTTCTGTCCCTCTTAAAATTACTTTGCACATACTTTGTATTTAGTAGCTTGTGTTCATGTTGTATCCTCCCAGTAGAATGTAAACAACCCCTGGAGGTTAGGAACCATTTTGGTTTTGTCTTTGTATGCCCAGCACCTGCCACAATTAGGTACACATCAGAAGTGCTCAGTAAATATTGTTGAGTACAAAGAGGGCCAAATAAAACCAAATTCCATTTCTTTCTTTTTTTTTTGATGGTCATCATTCACTTTTTTTTTTTTTTTGCAGGTTATGCTTCACTGAAGTCTGTGAGACCTCATCATAATCGACCCCTTTTCCATACTCAGCCCAGAAGCACCCCAGGATTACTGCCTCGGCCACCTGCAGCCCAGCCAGTCCATGGACGTACTGACTGGGTTTCTAAATATGCATCTCGACGATGACAGACGTAAAGCACTTTGCACTGAAAAGCAGGAAACTTTTCATCAAATAATTACGGAGAAGGAAACTGTCTCACCTGCAATAAACATGAGAAATGATAAGCAAAGGCCTCTCCCCAACATATTATAGTTATTTTCTGCAATCAAGATATTTCAATATTCCTTTTTTTTTTTTAGTTTTTTAAAAAATATTAATTTGAATCCAACGTTGTACCTTTTTTGTACAAAATTATTTTGTTCTATAACTGGGTCCTATTATTTTCTTAAACAGCAGCATTTTGTATATAGGAGATTATGTTTTGGCGTTTTATACAGGAACCTTTATAATGAACTTTAAAAAAAAAAAAGACTTTTATTTGAGGGGGGGTGTCCAGGTAATATTTTATACAAATAAAGAAATGCAGTGAAACTAATGCAGTATTGCAATATAGGTGCAATTTAGGGCTGTATTATACAGGGGCATTCACCTCCACCTTGTGGCTATTTGTGACACGGTTAAGTTACAAATATGGTACATTAGGCACATCTAGCCTGCTCTGACAAACTGCCTTGGTTTTAGTACTATGAAAGTGATTCCCAGCTTTTTCAGATCCCCTATGTTCCTTGGTTTGAGTTTGTAGCACTATGATTCCCCTCTCCTGAAAGTATTATAGCATTTCTTGAATTTCATTTTGAGAATTTTCTAGCATCTTTTGAAATTATTGATGACACCCTAAGGTATTGCAAAGTGAGGTTTGGGGATCACTGTAAGAGACCTTCATATTTCCCTTTCTATCCATTTTTGAAACAGATTAACCTGTGCGGAGAGGTAATCCTATAAGTAATTGTGTGCACACACAAAATTGAATTTTTGATAAGCAAAAGCCTGTTTAATCTAAAGGCTAGCATAGACAATTTGAGTTTGTGTTCCTGCCTCACAATGAGTGCTAGCAGACATAGACAGTGGTGTTTCACCTTGGCAGGGGAGTTTCTCTCCCCCTCCCCCCCCCCCCTCATTCCCAGTAGAATTTACCTGCCCTGCCCATCTCTAGGTCTGCTTAGGACTAGACAGTATGTAATCCCACCGTCCCTGCCAGATATTTCATGGCAGTCTAATCAGCAGCAAGAACTTGGACTCTCTCTGGTTTGCTAGGAAACCAAGTTAACAGTAATGCTAGTGTCAATAATGTATCCCATTTGAACTTAACCATTAATTTCTCTCAAGCAAAGGGAAGATAAACTGTATTTATCTGGCAGAGGCTGTTTCCTGGGAGAGGAACGTTTACAGCAATATTAAAAATGACAAAGCTGGTTTGTAGGCAGAAAACATAAAAGGTTAAGACCTATTCTTGACCTCTCTGTAGGACTCTTCTGCTTCCTTAATGGGTTCCCTAAGGGCAAAAGGGAAGGTTATTTCCAATGAAAACAAAAATATTTATGGTTATTTGGATCCATACCTGTGATTTCATCCTCATACGGAATTCCCAGTGCAGAAACTCCCTTCACAGATACAGACTAACAACTTACTGTAACCGATAGCCTTAGAACTTACTGAGGCTCCTGGAGTCAGCTGCCCACAGCCACACAGCTAGTGGGGCAGGATCTTCTCAATTCTAAGGCCAGCCTCATGCTGCCTCTAACAGAGCATAGTGATTTCAAATTTTTTGAAGCATTTGAACCTGATTAGCATTTTAATAGTGAGTGAACTCAGACTCAATACCTAAACTATTCCTTTTCAGATCTCCCAAGTTCAAGAGACACATGTTATAAATTGTTGCTTCATTGCATCAAGTCGTGACATGAAAGAATAACTAATAACTTTTCAAAGGTCCCTTATTTAAAACTGGGAGTATCTTATGCACTGAGAGTTATCTGGCTCAAAAATTTGCAGTCATCTATCAACCAACCTTACATCCTTCACTGAACCCAAGGGAGCAAAAAAAAATTTTTTTTAAAGCACACAGTGGATATGGGTTTGGTTTTTGGACTGTTATGTTTTATTGCTGGCAAACTAGCAGCAAAATTTAAAAAAGGAAATGATATCTTTATATATGCAAGCATACTTTGCAGCTGCATTTATTCATTTTATTGTATTGTATAACCAGTTGATTTCGTAAAGCAACATGAAATGTCTTTCCAGCAATGGCTTTTTTAGTATGCTAGCTAGTGAATATTTATTTTCTATCATACATCATTACAAAAATTCAGTTTACATGAAGATGAGTATATACTGATTTGGTGGGGAAAGCTGTTTTCACATTGCAGACAGAGCCCCTGGGAGACCATAAGTAAGACACATACCTTATTTCCATCAGGCTCTAATTTATGTTGAATGCATTGAATATTATAAATTCCTAACACTGGATTTGCATGTTTTCCAAAAGGCCAATTCTTATTACAGGACTATAAAGATGTTTGTACGATGTTCTGTTAAGACTGACCTGTAAGAAATATTTTTTCCTTTGTTTTTTTTTCGCGTGTGTGTGTGTGTCCATCAGAAGTCCCAACAGCTTTCCTTGGCAAAGCCCAATGAAGTTACCTGTATATAAAGGATAGAACTGTTTCATAGATGGGAAAACAATGGTTATTTAGCATTTAGTGTGACTCTGTCATCTAACTGCAGACTTAAAAGTGCTCTTTTATTTGCCAAATGGGTAAAGGACAAACTGCATATTCCAAATCTGTGTAGCAGAGGCAAATGATGACTATTTCTCTTAAGTAGAAATGAGTAACTGCACATATTTTTAGCTTTTGTTTTAATGATATTTATTTATGATGCAAGACACTTAAAAAAAAGTGATGAACTTGATGGTATTGATGTGTGACTATACCTCAGCTAATCACTTTGAAGGAAAAAGCACAGTATACTATCAGTAATGGCCACAGATTCAACTCTTACACTACGTCCAAATATGTCCAGAAACAGTAATCAGAGTTTTAAATGCAAATGTAGGCTTACCTCTGCTTTAAGAAAATCCAATATTTGGAAAAACTGGATTTAGAGAGAAGATGAATTAGTGGTGGTGGTGGTGTGTGTGTGTGTGTGTGTGTGGAGTGGGGTGGAAGGTGGGGAGGAGATTAGGAAAGATTTGTTTTGCCATAGGCTCTCTTCCATTAGCCTACCACCTTTATACATTGGGGTTATTTGGGGAAATTGTGTAGACAACTTTAACGCATATTGCCGATTCAATCCCTCACCTCTCCCATGGTTAACAGAACCTGACCCTTGATAATATTTACATGCAATTCTTGCTTTGTATGATTTAATCGTTCTCATTTTGTCTGAAAGTTCAAATACAGGTCATGTCAGGAGAGCGTCCGCACTGTGCATCCTTTCTAGACAAACTATTTCCCTCATAGAAATTATACCAGTCAGTCATTGCTTCGTGCCATTTCCAAGAAAGAACGCAGGCTGTTGGCAGCTCACTATATGAATAAAAGCAATATGTTCATGAGAAAACATTTTCACGTGCAAATCTTTTACATATTTGATGCAAATTGTAGCAACTTGGATGTCCAATAGATGTTATTGAGTTTTTAAGGATGATTTTAAAATGTTCAATTCGATGTACTGTACTTTTGTATAAGTTTATGTGAGGACCTTCTTGTAGATAATGTTACAGAAGCTGAGTCAAGGGCGAGCAACGCATTAATCCAGAATATCATTTTTCCCTGTGTGCCCTGTGCTAATTATTTGGAGCTAAAAAACTGATATGATGGCTGAGTTCAAGTCTCACCTCAGTTATGCAGTTGGTAAGACCATTTAATTCCCTGATGATTTGCAAAAATTTGAGTGAGATTATATTTTTAATGCAAATAAAGAAACAAATAAGAGAGGAAGGAGGAAAATGTCATTTGCGGGGAAAACCCACAAAATCCAATACGCCACTTGAAATAGTGTGTTGTATGGCTATTTAAAAGTACCAGTTAACTTTGTGTAAAGAAAGTTCTCTTGGCCCAAATAAAGTTACTTTTAAGAAGTGTTGGTTTGAGGGTTTTGCTTCTGTATTTGCTTTCTACCATTCAAGGAAGAGGTTGATATTTTATAATTTTGCTCTTGCTGTGAAATTCATCCACGATTTTAATATTCTCAACGACACTGAGTAAATTGACTCCCATCACATTTACAAAGTAAAGTTGCAGCAGTCTGCAGATGTTTCTCTTCTAATTTGGGAGTTTCATAATTTGATTTTTTATTCAGTCAACAGTAAATGCCTACTGTGTGCCAAGTACTGTGCTAAGCTCGGGAATACAAAGAAAGGTAAGAGACAGTCCCTGTTCTCAAGCAGTTCACAATCCAATGGGTGAGAAAACATGCAGACAACTGTACAAATAAGATGTATAGTAGATGAACTAGGGACAATCAAGAGAGGGCAGGGGAAATTAAGGGGAAATCTGTAAAATCTTGTAGAAGGTGGGATTTTAGTTGAGATCCGAAGGAAGACAAAGCAAGAGATGGAGATAAGTTGGGAAAGAATTCTAGGCACATGAGGACAACCAGTGAAATGTTGAATAAACTGAGCCTCAGTTTATTTATCTGTGAAATGATGTCAATGGAGTGAAAAGGAATGTCTCATGAGAGGAACAGCCAGGAGGTGAATGTCACTAGATTTTAGAATACACCAAGGTAGGATGTAAGAAAACTAGAAAGTTGGGAGGGGACCTGGTTTTTAAGGGCTTTGAATGCTAAATAGAGAATTTTAGCTGCTAGAGTTTACTGAATATGTGTGTGTGGCATGGTCAGACCCACACTTTAAGAAGATTAGCCAACTAGAAGACTTAAAAAAATTATGTGTATATATATATATATATATACTTTATTTTAGAATTCATTAGAAAAAATTGAGTTCCAAATCCCTTTCCTCTATCTCCCCCTTCATCCATTGAAAAGGCAAGTAATATAATATCAATTATACATGTGAAGTCATGAAAAACATTTTCATGTTAGCCTTGTTGAAAAAAAAAAAAGACAAGACAAGTAAGTGAAAAAAGCATGCTGCAATCTATACTCAGAGTTCATCAGTTCTCTCTGGATATCAATAGTATTTTTCACTCTGAGTCCTTTGGAATTGTCCTAGATTATTTGTCTTGATCAAAGTAGCTAAGTGTTTCATAGTTGATCACCATTGCAGTATTGTTGCTGTGTACAATGTTATCCTGGTTCTGCTAACTTCACATCAATTCATAT